TACCATGCTCCTGGATAGGAAGACTTAACATTGTGGAAATGTCAATACTGCCGAAAGCAATTTACACGTATAAAGCAATCCCAATCCAGATTCCAACGACATTTTTCAAAGAGATGGGGAGGAGATAGTCTCTTCAACAGATGGTGCTGGCAGAACTGGAAAGCGAAATGCAAAAGATTGAAACAAGACCTTTACCTCACGCCTTTTACAAAAACCAACTCAGCATGAATTAAAGATCTAAATATGAATCCCAGAATTATAAAGGTCATCAGTGAAAAAATAGGGACAAATGTGAGGGCTCTAATACAAGGCACACACAGACTACCAAACATTTTGAAAATTATACAAACAAAAGTAGACAAAATAGATGATTGGGACATACTAAAAATTAAAAATTTATGTGTATCAGAAGACTTCACCAAAAGAGTAGAAAGGGAGCCTACAGAATGGGGAAAATCTTTTGCAATGATGCATCCAACAAGAGACTAATTTCTAAAATACATAAGAAACCACAATACTCTACAAGAAAAAGACAAATAACTGAATTTAAAAATGGGTATAGGACATGAACAGACACTTCACCACGGAGGAATTCCGGGCAGCCAACAATCATGTGAAGAAATGTTCACGATCATAGCCATTAGCGATGCAAATCAAAGCAACAAGGAGATATCATCTCATACCAGCAATAAAAGCAAAGATCAAAAAATTAGAAGACAATAAATGCTGGTGAGGACGTGGAGAGACTGGGACCCTCCTACATTGCTGGTGGATTGCAAAATGGTCCAACCACTCTGGAAAACAATATGATGCTTCCTCAGAAAGTTGGAAATAGAAATATCTTATGATCCAGCAATTCCTCTACTTGGTATTTATCCACAGGAAATATGAGCCATAACACAAGTAGATATATGCACACCAATGTTCATAGCATCACTATTTACAATAGCAAAAAGATGGAGACATTAATAGAAGTGCCCATTAATAGAAGAATGGATAAACAAACTTTGGTACATACACACAATGAAATATTATGCTACCTTGAAGAATAACAAGGAAGCTGCAAGCCACCACTTAACATGATGAACCTTGAGGACATTATGTTGATTGGAATTTTTCAGTCACAAAAGGAGAAATACTGCATAGGATCATTATTGTAAAAGATTAAGAAAAGATACCCACACTAAAAGGGAAAAAAATTTCTTTGCTGGTTAATAGGGAGTATGGAGTGGGGTAAGTGGAGGGAGGGGAAGGTGGAGCACAGGGTAGGGGATAGACACAGGATAGTTTGGGTCCTGGGGGGTGGCAGTACACAAGAAGGGGGAGGGGAATGGAAGAACAAGGCAGATGGGAGAACAGTTAGGCAGGTTTGCATGGGCTAAGTGGGTCAGAGGTAGTGATGTATGCACAACCTTGGAGCAACAGGGCTCTGGCATACAGGGATTGAGGCATGGGTTGAATGGGTAAAAGAGGGGAAATAATGTTAAGATGCTTGACTGTGTTTTGAATCTTGGTTTTCCTTGCCTGCTATTGTAAAATAGACACTTGAGGGAGAGAGAAAAGAATAGTCAGAAACATCACCATAGAAAGCTTGTAAGTCCATCTTCAGCCTATAATTGATTGATTG